TGTGTGTGTGTGTGTGTGTGTGTGTCTGTGTGTCTGTGTGTATGTCTGTGTATGTGTGTCTGTGTGTGCATGTACAAGGTAGACTTTCCAGTTCTCTAATTTTCATAATACATCTTAATCCCAACGAATTTCTTCAAGCAGCTGATTCTGAGACTTTCTACTTCATACAGTTTTCAAATACAACCAAACTTAAATGAAAATAGTCAACAGAATGTCCAGGGTGTCAGGAAAACACCTGGATCTGCCCTGAGCTGATCATACACCGTGTTCAAATGCACTGAAATGTCACATGGTGCTCCTGAAATACATGCGACATGGCTATAAGGTAAGTACTTACCAAATACTTAACATGAAATTCACATAACCCATATAAAATCTTGGTTTGTCTTTAAGTAAGACCTGTTCATCAAGGGTGTCTGTAACAGGGTAAGGAAAATGTCAACTAGAATTTCCCTTAGCATAGGCTCTGCTGCTGGCATTATGGGATGGTTCTAGGCACAGCCTTCCTTTGAGTCTCCTCAACATCCCAAATCAACACACACAAGAGATAGTCCCTCAAAAACAAAGGCCTGGAGAAGCTTCTCTGAAAAGCCACTATGTTTCCCCTTCTCATTCCTGAGCTGTGAGACTGACGGCCCCCTCTTGTTATGGTCTCAAGGATTCAACTTAGGTTCTGCTCCCGCAGAGGACCTGGGTTCCATTCCCAGCTTCCACATGGGGACTTCCAACTGTCTGCAACTCCAGTTCCAGGGGATCCAGTGCCCTATCTGACCTCCAGGGGCACCAGGTATGCAAGCAGTGCCCTTACATACATGCAAGCAAAGCACTCATACACAGTAAATAAAAATGAATAAATCACTTAAAATGTAACTCAATTCAGCTTTGAGGGCCCCTAAATGTATTGATGTCGATTCCGATGTTCTTTCTCACACAATTCTCCATTCTAGTTTGTATTTTTTTTCCTCTCATCCTGCCAAATGCTCCATAGATCCTTAGACACAGTTATGTGCATAAAAGGTTCTGCATGTGTATATATTTTAACACAGGTTGATTGAAGAGAATACACTGTTGGAAAGGCCTGTGTTAACACCGTAGGAAGGGCTACTCTGTGCAAATGCCCAGGCCTGGACACATGGTGCTCAATAAATATGTGTTACTATTAAACTTTCTGTGTTTCTAAAACTAGACTAGCGATTACATTTCTGGTGTTACACAAGAAAAGAAGATAGCATTACAGATACACAGTCATTGAAAGGTTTACAATCTGGTTATTTTGGCCTTTAATTTTTCTGTCTGTTCAAACTTTTTCCACACTATCTGAGTAAGAGTTGTAAGAAGTTGGTGAATATTTGTATAGCAAACTAGAGATTTTTAGACAAATTTTAAATCATGAGATTAAAGAAAAAGAATAAATTGTTCCAGTTTCTTGAAAGACCAGTGCTAACAAATTCCTTTTGCACTTGTGGTAACTTCACTGCTTGATAAAACTTTACCCACCCAACATCAACTTTATTTACCTTCACACATTTGGAGATCAGAGGTTGTACATCCACAACCCACTGCTATGGACACCATACCATCTGCAGACAGGTGACATGGCCAGTAGTCTGCATTTCACACTTGCAAATGAAGCTGCAAGGATTTCCCAGCCCTGCCTGCCCACACTCACCAAGGTCAGATGCAGGGGTCCAGTCTGCTTGTGCACAGGACAGGAGGAGAGCTGCAACTTCTCCGGGAGGCTCTGGCTTCTGCCCCTCAGCTTCCTGGAGCCTCTGCTTCTGGGCCACCTTTGCTGCCCTCCTTCAGGGGTGGCAACCTGGGCGGCTCCCAAAGAGGAAGTAGCCTGCCAGGACGCCATGGGGTGAGGACAGGGGGTGTGGGGAAGGGGTGCCTTAGGGGAGGGGCCCTGTGGGGCCCTGGGATTGGGGAGTTCTAGCTCAGGACGAGCTTCCAGAGAGATGGGCAGTCTGCACAGAGCCAAGGGGCAGGCCCACACCAGTGCAGCAAGATGAGAAATCAGCATTTGGATTCTCAGAAGAGACAAAAAGAAAGTAAATGTTTCTGGGGAGCAGGGGAGGGGGTGTTTAGCAGATGGTGGAAAAGAAGTAGGAGAATAGAATATATGCTTAACACAGAAAGGGACAAACACAGGGGGCAGGACAGCACAGGATATAGCTTGTTAAGCTCCCAGGCTGTCAATGTAAATTGATTTTATAGTTTGATTTTATATCTGAAGAGACCAATTGAAAAATAATTCACTGTTCTCGATTGTAATCCCTATAACCGAGAGGTTGAGGCAGGAGGATTTGGGGTTTGGGTGCCTGAGCTAAATATCGAACTCCATCCCTAAAGAACAAGAAGAGGATGGGGACTAAGTGTAGACTGTGACTCTGCAGTCAGATGGTGCAGTGTGTGCAGTACAGGACACTTCCAAAGTCTCAAAGTTCAATGTTGAAAACAAGTCAGGTTCATACTCTAATAGTCTCTATAACATTCCAGCATGAATGGGGGAGGGTCACAGGAGCCTCCCCCTCCAGCTGAGGAGCTATGGACAGTTGATGACTGCCAGGAGAGGGAAAGTCGGTTTTCTTCAGGAGTGTGGTCCTTGGTGTGTTGACTATCCAGGGATGATTCTACTCCATGAGTACATGGGCAGCACTGACTGGACTCGGTGGGTCATTGAAGAAGAGGAGGAAGAGAAATGGAAAGGGAGGGAAGGAGGGAGGGAGGGAGGAAGGGAGGGAGGGAG